CTGACTCCCCATTGGTACCATTACCAAAAATTTTTTCATTTTTTAGTTGCAAAGGATTATTGTTGCAAAAAAAAATTGAAAAACGAATATCCATGTTGTCTTTTACTTAATTATGTTCATGATATTTACGCAGATAAAAAAAAAAGCCCGGAAGAACTGTCTCACAGTATCCTATACAATTCTCCCCATTCTACTAAAAAGCGTGAAATAAAATAATTTTAAGAAAAATAATACACCGACTTTGACATGCACTAAAACGTATAAAATAATTTCTATTTCCTAATGAAGTAATTTCTATTTCATTCAATCATACAATTACGTCACAGATATGAATGAAACCTATTTACTCGTTAGGTAGTATATTAAATACATGTAGGATCGGAAATAATCGAGGTTGACGGATTACTAGTTTTTTTTTTGGGGAATAATAATAACAGAATAATAATTTTAATAATTTAACAAGAGTATAATAATCAACGAAATATAAAAATCAAATACGGACACTGATCAACTTTTCGGACAACTTCCTACTTCCAACGTTACAACGAGACTGATCCGCGACGCCACGTCGTTTTCCTCGTTCGCCCAGGGTTCCCGCGTAAAAGGAAACAAATGCTATCTAATTCTTCGTTCCCTCGCTAATTTTCGCAGCAACTCATAATACCGCCGAACTATCTTGGCACCAATCGTCCACGCTTCCCGCTCGCCCGATCGCGCCCGATCGTATTCGATGAACCCCGAATAAACCGATCCCACATACATTTCAACCTTTTCGGAGGTGGCGCAAAATTAAAAATACCTCAGTAAACGTTGCTGCCAATAACCAGTTGATTGTAGTATGGCGTATTGGAAATTAATAAATCTTGAGAAAGAATACGAATAATTTATAGATATATCTGGTAATATACGTAAATGTAACGACTGCATCTTCATTTCGCAACGTTGCTGATATAAATGAAATTAAATCGACTTCGTTCGCGTGTGGAAGCCATGGATCTAAGAACCTATAAACGGAGCCCACGACGCGGGAATTACCGGAAAAGTGAAAGTTTTCGAAAAATCGAATTGTATTGAGACGCGAGAGATTGTGGGCTGCTCCGCGGTGCGGGAGGCAAGGTACGTCACGCGAATCCGTAAACCTAACGACGAATCTGTTGATAACGCAACCGCGGGATAGCAACCAGCGAATATAAAATAGAGACTCGCGACAAAAGTCGGCCTATTTGGCAGTTTAAGAAACAAGACGAGGTAAGGACTATCGGCCGCTCTTGGACTAGCCTTGAGACTCCCGGCAGGAGAGTTTGGTGATAATACCTGAATGTTTGCTGGAGAAAAATTTAGTTGGTTAGGGACTACGGTAGGACAGTTCGGCTACAAATACCTGGACGCCTACCTGGAGAGTAGCTAGTAGAGAAACTCCGACAGGAGAGTTCGATGAGATGATAGCTTCCTGGACACCTGTCTGGAGGATAGGGCGAGAGTACGGGAGCTTGTTTCTGGATGCTCATCCTACGTGGACAATTCGGCGAACATTCCTGGACGCCTGACGGTCGAAAGAGGACAGAGCATCTCCTGGATGCCTCAAGTAAAGTGCAGGAGAGTACGGGAAGATATTCTTGGTCACCAATTCCATATGGAGAATTCGGGGAAAATACCTGGACGCCATTCGAATGAGAGAGAACAGAATTACTTCTGGACGCCTGATTGATTAGAGTTACAAAGAGACATTTAAAAATAGTCACGTTGTGAAACAGAACAAAATTATACTATGTACAATGTATTTTCTGTACAATCTCATAACCCTAGCAATAAATCCAGTTTTCCAGAATTCTTTACTCCTGTTACATCACCTCCATATCATTGCGAAAATAAATCATGGCTACAAAGTTATAATTTGAAAGGTATCTTTTGATACCTCTTCGTAGAAATAGTGTAATAGTGAAATAGTTCTACCTTCGTAGAAGTACTATGTATAAAATCCCATCCCAACCACTCACTCATGTGTACAAATGTACAGGCCAAGTCATGTCAAATACGGTTCTTTGTCAAACAGTCAAATTTTTTTAAAATGAGCTAAAATTCCCTGAAAAATTGTCAAAAGCGCTAAAAGGTCATTACGAGGCGATCTGGTGGCGGAGAGCCCCCGAGCGAGAGAAAACAAATTTGATATTAAAACAGAGTCACTATTGATTTACAAAGACAGTAAAATAAAATACATTTTAGTTCAAAATTATTGGTTATGTAATTGTACTATTAAAAATATGTATGATTATGTAAATAATCAAATCCTCATAATTCCCTAATTTTCAATTCTTCAATCGTCAAATTACTTAAAATTCCAAATATACAAAAATTCGGACTTCGTAATTACTGAATTCCCAAATTTCCAAATTTTTAAATTTCCAAATACCGAACTTACACAGTTTTAAAATCTCAATTTCCCAAATCTTTAAGTTTCTTTTCACAATTAGTAAATCGCTACATCCTGAGGTTTCCAAAAATCCAAAAATCTTCTCCATCAACCATAGATAAGTAAAATCACAGATGCAAAAATTGTATTATGCCTCGGAATAATACAGCGATGATGAGTCAGATCCGATCCGTTCTTTGTTGCGTTATTTCTTCATTTATGTGCGTAAAATTGTAAAGTGGTGGAATATTTGATCACGAATATACTTATATTTAATTTTACCTTAATACAAGATTTGAATATTCGGATTCTATAAACAAATATTTTGACTACAACGAAAAAGTTATAATCAAATACTATTATCAATATTATTATAATATTATAATATAATAATATAATATTTGGTTATTTATTACAATGTATTATAATATTTGGATATACATACCTACTACACGCAGAAAATCTATATGACATATGTATATGCAATACATAAAATCTCTAAATTAAAAAATTAAAATGATGAACCCAAATAAAACTAAATATACGAAAATGTACATTTGCATAAACCGCTGCAACTGTAATTGTAATTATCTTCGAAATTAAGAAATATAATTCATGACGAAATTAAATTTCTGTTATACATGTGAAACATCGAGCCAAAAAAGTTAATTTAACACACAAATAATATCAAAAATGAAATAACGAAAAAGTACGAACAGATATTATACTATATCAGATTGTAACTGAATCACCGAACAAGTGTGTAAAAATTGTAGCATTCAAAAATCCAGTAAAAACCGCGTATTATTTCGAAAAGACAAATCACCATAAAGTCGCTGAGCCCATCATAAACTCTCTTAACATCGATGCACAGCTAACTAATGCAGTTTAAAAATCTTCAAAGACCGGTTTCTTTGATTTGCTATTTAAGAGTTGCTCTTTGTTTACGGCACAATCCCTTGCTCAATGAAACTAATTTATTCACTGTCCGGAAGAAAAACGTGGCGAAAATTAACGGGCCGTAAAATTCTCAACGTTAATAATGACATTATTACGACGCTTAAATACAAGGCCGTGCCATTTTCAGGATATCGAAAGTGATACAGGCATCCGCATTGTCATTTTTAGCAGCGACAAACGCTCTGCGTAAAACGAATCGTCGTGAATGTAATAAATTATGGCTGCCTCGTGCGTATCTGGACTTTTAAGGGAACCTGAACTTCTTTGATACTCCTTTTCTTGGTTAATCCTTCCGTATGAATTCTTCTTTACGTGTTCATGTGAGTCTGAAAGATATAAAGTTCAACTTGAGATATGAATACTTTATACAGAAAGACTAATACTTATTCGTCTACTGTTAGGCCATAAAATACTAAATATCGCGCCAAATTGATCTTTCTTTAGAGGTTAGGTATCTCGAATAAAGTATGGTGAAGTGGAGTAAGTTCGTATACGGAGCAAGTACGTATACAGGCTATTTTTATTACAATATGAAATTTCTTCATTTAGTATGTTTGTTTCCTTGTTTTGTTTCACTATATCCCCTTTTATATTTCAGCTAAGAGTACTTGTTTGCAGTATAGAGTACTTGCATAATGCAGTAAAAAGCATTTTATAGTAGATTTGTTAATAATTCTGCTCTTGCCCCATTGCACATGAAATAAAGTTTCAAAGTATTTAATTTCAAGTTACGCTCTTACCCCATTTTCGGGGAAAGTGCAGAATAGTTGATATTTTAAACAATTTCCTATCAAAATCAAAATGTACAAAATTAAGGTCCTAGTTAATATTAATTAAATAGTAGTAATTGTGCAAAGCGTTCGATATCGATAGCGTTAAGTATTTACATAGCAGACTGAAAATACTTACGTTTAAATACCAACTTTACAAAAACCAGTCTGCATTTACCCCACTTCACCTTATGCATAACACAATTTATATACCATCAGTGGTGACGTAAATCTTATTCTGCTGATTTATAATTTGTTTAACAAATATACTATAGGTTTTGCAAGTCATTTTCGGGAAAATGAAGTGAGGTGAATGTAGTAACGTGTTCTCATTAGAGACTAATGTTTATCTGAGTAGACTAAAAACGATATTTAAAATGACATATTTTATTTTACTCGTGGTTTTCATAAAAAAAAAAACAAATTTTCAGGCATTTTGTCAATAAAGAGGAGTTTCATGAAAACAGTTGTTTTCTATAGAAATTTTAACTATAAGGTAAATGTTAAGTATTAGCTACTAACGATCACTTTCCCATTAGTAATTATTGTTTATTTGATTTTATTCGACGTTTAAAATGATATATTTTCTTCCATAATAGTTTTCATATGAAATAAGTATTGGTGATAAAACGATACACGAATTAATATTTATATTTGTCTCCATCTAACGGAATTAATCACCATTAATATTTCTTCTTACATTCGCATGTTTCGTTTCAATTTTGTTCTCTGATTTTCCTCACGTAATTGAATTGTGCATTTTGTAATCGTTATTGAATAAATAATTTTCCTGTTCTGTATATAATTTATTACACTTTATTCGACCACGGATCTCCTCGCCTTCAACAATAAGATATTAGATATTCTGTCTATAAACAGGATTTGAATACATAAATAGTTGTTTTTCATAAAAATTTAAATATCTAAAATAAATGTTAAATATTAATAGTTAACGATCATGTCTCCATTAGTGACCAATATTTATTTTACTTCATTAGGAATGATAATTAAAAGAACTTATTGGTGAAAACCTTGAAACCACAATTACAAATATTTTTTATTTACTATTTTAAAGATTTTTCTCTTATTAATTAGTCAGCAAGTGGAATTAAACGGAAACACAATTTTTATTTATATAAATCCAAAATCTACAATATGATTTAAACGACTTATTAATTTCTTCATTTGATTTTTTTTTAAATTGAAAAACTGATGTTGTATCACATATTAAAAATTATATACATATAAAAACATCCCAAAATTCAAATTATTATGACTTAAACAAATTCGAAATCAGCAAAATGTTTCAAATGACTGATTAATTTTTTTGTTTGAATTTTTATTTCATTTGAAAAATTAATTTTGCAACCGATATTGAAAAAGATAAAAATATACAATAATTGCAAAGATTCAATAACTATATCTTTTCAATAAATTTTAAATCACCAACTGATTTAAATAACACATTAATTTTTTCACTTGAATTTCTTTCTAATGTAAAAGGTTAATTCTGCAATTGATACTAAAAATGATAAAAATGTATAAACATTTCGAAATTCATTGCGGTATTTTTTCAACAAATTCTAAATCAGTAAAGTGATTTAAGCAACTCGATTTATTCATTTTAAAAATTGGTTTTACAACTGTTTTTAAAAATGATAAGAATAGGAAAAGATTACACAATTGAAACGATTGTATCCAAAATCTGATTCACCTGTTTTCTCGTCACCCTGTATGTATATTATATGATATGATAATGTTGTCAGGCAATTGTAGAACCGGTTGGGACAAACGCTTAGCCGCTGGCACGTGTACATGAAACCCGTTGACAGGAAAGTGAGCTATGGCTCGTCAAGTTAATTGACAATCGCTGACAGACACACACACACACACACACATAAACGTACGTTTTCACACCACACACAAAAGATAGCTGCGATATGTGCGGGTGTGTATTCGTGACTAGGATAGCGTGACTGTTTCTTTTCACGGTGTCGCACTAATTCATATGGTAATCGTGGACCCAGGAATCGTCGTCTTTATTAAGTGCATCACGTTCGACCCATTTTGTGCCCCAGGATAAACCTGAAAATTTTTGAGTTTGTATACTCAGGTGCAGTGTAGATTACTAATATTTAAGGAGGGCAATACCTTTAGATCGATGAAAATAAGCTGATTTTTGTGAATTTTTTTCTTATAGGATATCTTTGTTTTGCGTTTTTGAAATTTCAGGTATAATTTATTATAACTATTGCCTATTACACAATATTTTTTGTTTTTAAATACATTTAAAAATGGCGGAATTATAACAATCCTTTCTGGAAGTGTTTGGGCGCATCTCGTGAATCGGTGTGGGTTCTAGCTTTAGATATATTGGTCTGAAGCAAGTTTGCAGACAATGTTGCGAAAACTTGTTAGATCCATTGGTCTGAAACAAGTTTGCAGACAATGTTTCGAAAACTAACATTCATAGTTAGTAGATGAATCTCAGAAATGTGCAAAATGTGTAAAATTAAAGAAATGGCGTGCTTTTAAAGAAAAACTGTGAATTTTACTAAAAATTTGTGCAATATTATGCAATAAAAAAGGACTTTAATGTTCAATTTATTTCATAATTTAGGTTCATATGTTAGATACTATTGTCATGGATATGTGCAAAAAATTTGAGCGCAATTGATAAACTAGTTTTTAGTTATCAGCCACACCAATTGTAAAAATGTGTTTTTTTTTTTTTTTTTTTTTTTTTTTTTTTTTTTTTTTTTTTTTTTTTTTTTTTTTTTTTTTTTTTTTTTTTTTTTTTTTTTTTTTTTTTTTTTTTTTTTTTTGCCTAGCTGGATGGACCGATCGGAAT